GTACTCTATTTAAATACAACCAGCAAATGCATCTTCAAAGCTCTTTAAATGCTGATGATATCACCTCTCATTTACACGCCAGTATTATGCAGACATCAGCTATAGCCAGGTAGTTAAGAACTTGTCAAAATCCCTGTCAAAAATTCCCACCTTAAGATCTACTTGGCCCAAGTATACTTTCATTCAAATGTCAATATAATACTTCATATTGAAGTAACAGTTTATTGTAAATGAAACATTTACCAATTCTAATTTCTAATATAGCACATAGCATTTCTTATACAAAATAAAATGAAGATCTTGAGTATTCAGATTTTCTTGTTCATTTTCCCTTTGTAGGAATATTGAGAGTAAAACCAGTGTGGTATAAGCATCCATAATCTTTGTTTTTTGAGAACAGCTATATAATTACAGAAAAATGTGAAGATAGTACAGAAAATTCCTATATATTCTGAACCTAATTACCCCTATTATTGACAACTTACATTAGTACATTTAATATAATTAATGAACCAATATTAATGCTTTATTATTATTATTTTAGACCTTTTTTTAAGTTCTGGAGTACATGTGCAGGATGTGCATGTTTGTTACCTAGGTAAACATGTACCATGATGGTTTGCTGCACTTATCAGACCATCATCTGATATTAAGCCAGCATGCATTAGCTATTTCTCCTGATGCTCTCTGCCAACACCCACCAGCCCTTCCCCGACAGGCCCCAGTGTGTGTTGTTTCTCTCCCTATGTCCATGTGTTCTCATTATTCAGCTCCCATTTATAAGTGAGAACATGCAGTGTTTGGTTTTCTGTTCTTGTGTTAGTTTGCTGAGGATAAAGGCCTCCAGCTCCATCCATGTCCTTGCAAAGCACATGATCTTGTTTCTTTTTATTGCATCCACAATATTGTAGAAGTAGCTTCTCAAATCCTTACTCATCTACTTGTTAGCACTTAGGTGGGTGGCAGTCAGAACAAAGAAAACACGTTGTTTGATACATAACACTTTGATTTGATTTTCATAGGTGATCTATCAGGGTATCCCCATATTATAGATGAGGAAGTGAAAGCAGAGAGAGTTTGAGTAATTTGTCCAAGAGAACAAGGAAAAAAAAAGGTTGAGATTGAAAAAAATTAGTCAAATATCACACTAGTCACACTCTCAACCAGTGCATTAGTCTGTACACCTAGGAGATTAGGACAGTCTTCAAAGGAAGACAAACCTGAGGAACATGCATAACTATCTAAGCTAGTCCTTGGCAAGAGGCAGAAGAAAAATATGCACTCCTGTACTCCTCTTTTCCTGGCTGATCTCTTTCCATACTCAAAAGTAATTTCATAGCTCTAAGCAACTTGCTAAAAAATCATCATTATCATCAGCATCATCATCATCACCATCATCATCGTCATCACCATCATCATCATCACCATTATTATTATCTTAAATGTACACAAGTGGACTTGGTATAATTAATTTGGACAACAGGAAAAAGAAAAAGGAAACTAAATGTCACCTTACAATTCATCATGGATTAGGTTTGTTAAAATATTTTATAATAAGACATAATATCTTAGCCTCAAGAAATACAAATTGCTATAACTTACTCAGAGTTTATATTGAAAAAAATGTTTGTAGCCAGCCCTGTAAAAAGGTAATAGTGTGGTTCAGCCCCAGACCTCAATAGGTTGTTATTCTCTGTACAATTTCTTCATATCTTTGCATTCTTGGAATTCTAGTTGAATCAAAATCAATTAGAAAGATTCAGACAATAATGATAAATAGCTATTACAATTTAAAAGAGACTTGCAAGTTTTTTCATGATGAGAATTTTACTTTTACTGATTATAAAAGCAGGATATGATGATTGTTCAAAAGTTAAGCAATTCAAAAAGTAAAAAGAAGTAAAAATCAACTAAAATTTTTCCTAAGGAAAAATCATTGTTAATGCATTGATGAACACATTTCTGATTGTCTCTTCATAAATTTATTTTACATATAGATGTGTGTGTATATATATGTGTACATACACACTAATATACAAACACACTGTGAGATCATAAAATGTATGCTGTCTTATAATCAGTATCTTTTATTCATGTTTTGGTTATTTGTTTTGGTTATTTTTCCATAATGTTAAATATAATTCTAAGTAATCATTTTTATAGTTGCATTGTATGGATATACCATAATTTATTTTTGCAAGCTCCTCCTCTTGCTAGAAATTTAGATTGTTTCTAAAATTTTCCATTAGAAACAATGTTGAATTGAACATTCTTGAATGATCTTTGGAAAGTTGTTGGTTTATCAGAAGATTTCTGATGAATATGTTACTTGGACTTTATGCAAATAATTAACTTCAACATTCTCGACTGTCTCTGTTGAGTTAGTTCACACGAGTGGTCCTCAGGTACCCTGACTTTCTGGTTAGGATCCTGAGTTCTGTGAGTCTTGTAGCATTTGGGTTTAAATTGGAAGTGGAGATTCTAAGGGCCCTGCCCTAAGGAACTCATGAGATCTTGTACAGAGTGCAAAGAAGGAAGATGATTCGAGACCCAAGGACTGCTTCTATGCAAAGTAAAGGCAAAGCAGAAAGCCTCAGTAGGTTAGCAGTATAGTTCTATAAACTTTCTGTGATTAATGTTTTTAAATTGGCAAGTAGTAAGCCTGACTCCCAAGAATTTCTGTAGCCTTCACCTATCTCTTATGACATATGCTAACCACCAGCTCTCATCACCTTCTTCCTACCCCACTTGGCTTCTCCTTGCAGTATTCAAGCAATCACTTACCCCAAACCCCTAACACAAGGAGGTCCCTGGAAGTGCCTAGGAAAATGTCAGTGAGGCTTTGGCTGTTCTCCCAAATCACATGCCTAGCATAAGTTAAGCTTAATGTAATAGAAATATTGTTCAGTTTATCTCACAGTCCATGAGTTAGTCGATTCCATTAAACTTTGATTTGCAAAGTATCAGTCACTGTGTGTTTAATTGGTTTGTATTCAGCTGAAGGGAAGCAGCATATAATAGAAATAGCTTGGGCCAAAAAAACCTGAACATGAATCCAGTTCTGCCACTTGATAGCTCTGTCACCTTGGGAAAGATAGGAATCGTTTTTGGAAATCAGTTTGTTCCTCTGAAATAGCAACATTTGATTTGTCCTATTCAGTAGAGATTGCTGGTTACAAGCAGAGAGTTCATCAATGAATGCATATTTGGTGGTGTGTTCTCATTTAGGATCATAATAACTGTGGTATCTGGTATTATCCTCAGCCAGAACTAGGGCTCAGAGCAGTTAAGCAACTAGCCCGAGAGAGAATAGTTGCTTAAACTGAGACAGACTAAGCGGAGTCAGAATTCAAGTCCAGACCTGTGACTATAAAGGCTGAATTCTTTCCTCCTACCCTGTGTTCACAGAGAAAAAAAAAAATCTGCGTTATCATCACTGAAGAGAATAATTTTTATAGTAGGCATTTTTGTACTACACAACAGTACTCACTAGTTTAACTGGATATGACTCTGAAGACGGAATATGACTTTACTCATTCTTCTCTGAATTGTAGTACTGTAAGAGAGCTCATTTTTTCATGCCATCTTCCCTAACTGTCCAGATTTCTTTTAGAAGTGAGTTTTCACATTTTGTGTTTTATTATGAGTTACAACTGAATTTATTTGTATCACACTAATCTGTCATCTTTGAGTTTCACAGATAGAGCAGAAGGCCTTTGGCCGTTAAAGGCATTTTCAAATACCCATTTTTCCCTCTACCTGTCATATTGATTCATGAATGCTGGCAGCTAAGCGAGGCCCATTTATTTGCAGTATCTTCATGCTCCCTCCTACGGAACTTGCCACATTAATATCCTCTAAGATCGAACTCAATCTGTACATGTGTGCAGGAACAACACACTTAAGAACTTCGCTATTCCTGCTGATGAAGCAGTAAATAATTAACAACTAAAGAGGGGACAGCCATACTTCAGCTGCAAAGCAGAAACAGCATGCCATGTTGTTTCCCCCAAGGTTTCATTACTCCCAAATAATATGGGCTGTTTGGTATCATCTTGAGGATTGTGCTGCTTGAGAGCACTCGATGATAATGTCCTTATATTGCTTTTAAATAATTAGCTCTGTTATCTCTCTTGTTTTTGCTACAAGTCACCTTCTTGAAATTTCTTGTAAAACCATAAACAGCACCCTGTCTGAGTAAGGCATTTGGAAGATCCATGCCTCCTCTGGAGCCACTGAGAGTCATGTGGGCTGCAAGAGAGGCATGGCACATTGAAAGATATTAAGGCTCCAGGTCTTCCCAGTTACTAGAGAGTAAAGTTTGAGGTCAAAGGAACTAAAGTCATCATGCTTGTTTGAGAAGAAAAACAAACGGTTTTCAAAATCTCCTGAAAAAAATCTTGTTACAATTTTTTTTTTCTCTTTAAACTGCAGGGAGGGAAAATTCTGCAAGGTTAAAAACAAGAAATGAATACAGTCAGTACTGAAGAAATAACAGTGTGCAGTCTCAGGAGAGACTAGGGTCCACCACTCAAGTTAAAAACTCTAGAAATATCTGTGGACTAGAACTAAGGGGGAAGAATATAAAGGCCCATATCAGCCTATTTTTGGCCATCTTTGCTTAAATAAAATTGGAAAAGAAGTTATTTTTTTCTACTATTTTGATTGAAGAAGAAAAACCATAAAATATATTCAAACACACTCTATGAAATGAAATAATAAAACTAGAACTAAGTACATTTTCCCTCTTCTAATCCACATGTGAACACAATTAATTTGGAATCAGGTTAGTTAAAATTCAGCCAATTCAGAGCATGAGATTGGATGATAGCTGTGAGCCCTGGATGTTAAACCCAGCTCTAGCAAGGATGTACTGTGTGTGTGACTTGCGTGGTGGCTAAGGTTCATTTAAGTGCTCCATGTACCTGTTAATTTGAGGATAATAATGCCCTCTTCTAAGTCTATGGGCTTTTTCTTACTCCCTTCTCTCTTTCTTTAAGGTCCAGTTGAAAAGTGAAGAATCCAAAACATTTGCAATGAAGATTCTCAAGAAACGTCACATTGTGGACACAAGACAGCAGGAGCACATCCGCTCAGAGAAGCAGATCATGCAGGGGGCTCATTCCGATTTCATAGTGAGGTAAAGGCCCCGTGCCAGGGACAGACATACCCAACTCCAAGTGACAAATCCACCACAAAACCCTCTGCCACTTGTGCTCACTGTTAACACATTTTGTATGCACAAAGAAACTTATTTTTAATCTAATCTTAAGAAAGTTTTGTTTGATTTCTAAAAATAGAGTTCTGATTCTACTCTTTCTTTTAAAGAGAATCAGTGTCTGAAAACAATGTGTTTTCCCAAAGGACGTACCAGAGTTTCTAACATTCCGTTTTTATCTTTTTTTAAACCCCCAAACTCTACATAGACCTCTGATGCTTAAAAGACAAAATATGCAAAATCAAACTATTTAACCTTTAATTACCTGAATATGTTTTGAAGATCTAAAAAAATGAAATGACAGCTGACCATTCCACCTCAGTACTAATAAATGGATAATGGGGAGATTTTTATATGCAGAAGCAGCTTTTTGTAGTGAATTTTCCAGTGGCACTTAGTGAAAACAGGATGTAACATAAATTTGAGCGAATAGCACATGAAATTTATACATGTCTGAATTTGTAAAGTTTAATCCACTTTATTCCCATTTTCACTGCATATTGATGACCACTAAACGTTGCCCCAACAGTCCATGCTCAAAACATCACCCAAATTGGAATGGAAAGAACCCCAAGGAACCCTCTTTCTCCATAATCATTATGATTAATCCATTTCAAGGGAAAGATTGGCGCCCTAGTTTCTTCTATTAAAATCCTAGTCATGAGCCATTGACTTCTTTTCCCCATGTGTGGGCTTAGATCTCTCTCATTCTGATAAAATTTTGAGCTTGACAAATCAAAACTATAATCTGGGCCCCCCAGAATTGCATACTTGTAAAAGACGATAATGTTTACAATCTTTGTTTTCTTGTTTGCAATTTACAGACTGTACAGAACATTTAAGGACAGCAAATATTTGTATATGTTGATGGAAGCTTGTCTAGGTGGAGAACTCTGGACCATTCTCAGGGATAGGTAGGAGATTTAAAAAATTTCTATGATGTCTGTAAAAACATAGTTGCCCGTGTTGGTCTATAAGAAGAGTTAATATAATAAAGTATGATAATCATATTTATACTTTACACATGCTTATATTTCAATATTTAAAGTAAGTACAGGGAATAACCCACTATACACATATGATTTACTGTACATATAATAAAACTCACTTTGTAACTAACAATACAGGCTTAGTCGATCATAAAAATGGTACATAGCAAAGTATATACATGGCCTTAGTTTTGCATGAATGTTAGAATTAGACAACTCTATAGTTGGAATTCAATTCATCTATTGCTTTAGCAGAAAGAAAATTATAGTTATTTTATAATTATAATTTGAATTAACTATCAATTTAATTGCTCTACTCTTTTTCCAGATAGGCAGTTTGCCTTTTGTGACACTGAGAATTTTTTCCAAAGCAATTTTTCTCTCTACATTGCTCTTTGGTTTCAAAATTAACAAAAGTTTCCAGCCATCTCTTTATCCCTTGGCTAGTCTTAGGAAAAAGAAAAGAATCCACTTATAAGCAATATTTCATGTAAATAATCTGATTTAGATTTGCCTTCTTACCCTTGCAGGGCAAGGAAAGTTTGTCTAGATGGTGCTTGTTTGTTTGTTTGTTTGTTTTAATCATGCAAATTCATTGTCTTTTCCATCTCATATTTAGATAACTAGCAAATTATCTAATTATCTTCTAATATAATTTATCCTATAAAATGTCTCAGGAGATCATTATCTACCCTGTGTTTTTTTTTTATTTTTATTTATTTATTTTTTTTTTTGAGACGGAGTCTGGCTCTGTCGCCCAGGCTGGAGTGCAGTGGCCGGATCTCAGCTCACTGCAAGCTCCGCCTCCCGGGTTCATGCCATTCTCCTGCCTCAGCCTTCCAAGTAGCTGAGACTACAGGCGCCCGCCACCTCGCCCGGCTAGTTTTTTGTATTTTTTTTTTTTTTTTTAGAGAGACGGGTTAGCCAGGATGGTCTCGATCTCCTGACCTCGTGATCCGCCCATCTCCGTCTCCTAAAGTGCTGGGATTACAGGCTTGAGCCACCGCGCCCAGCCTACCGTGTGTTTTTAAAAAACATGCTTTTATTTTCCTATGATAATCTTTTTTATTATTTTCTATGAATGATTTATTGATCATACACAAGTCATCTTTGTTCTTTTGAACACTCACCTTTAGACATCTGCCCCCCAGACTCCTCTTCATAGGGTAGCATCCTTCTGAAACTTAGCTATAGGTAGCCCTGATGTACATAACCATGTAAGGTTTTTATATTTGTTACTTTGTAAATATCCCAGAGTAAAACAAGTGGTTCCTTATACATTGTTGATTTAAATTCTCATTCATAATGGTGTTCTTATGGTACTTTCATATCATTATACAACAGGCCCTTTCACTTGTTATTCCCATGGCCTTACTTATATATGCCAAATGGATTTCTTGTTACCACATTGTATCCTATTGCATCAGTATTTTATTTCAATTCTTAAATTTAAGGTTAAAAAAGCATAAAAGGGAATGTATCACATTGGCATTAGGAGATAAGGTTAACATCTGTACTAGGCTATTATAGTGTATATATTATGTATTATTGCTAGTTAAGATGTACATACAGATTATATACCAGACATTGTGATAGAGGCTGGGGATACAGTAATAAACAAAATGGATGTGGTCTGTTTCCCCAGAATGTATAGTTTATAGAACAAAGTTAATATTTTAATTTGTGAGTTAACATTTGGCATATCTAATGTGTTTCTACTGCATTATATTTGACTCAATATTTCAATTCACTGATTTATTTGAAGTCTTCTATACTTTTTTCTAATTAGAATAGAAGAAGATTTACAGGTGGAATTAAACATGAAAGCAATAATAAGCCACAAAGGGAGAGCCCAACTATCCTCTTATAGCTTTTTTAAAATTATTTTTTCATAAGTTGATGGGGTACAGGTGGTATTTGGTTACATGAGTAAGTTATTCAGTGGTGATTTGTGAGATTTTGGTGTACCCATCACACGAGCAGTATACACTGCGCCATATTTGTAGTCTTTTATCTCTTGCCCCCCTCCCACTCTTCCCCCGAAATTCCCAAAGTCCATTGCATCATTTGTATGTCTTTGTGTCCTCATAGCTTAGCCCCCACATATCAGTGAGAACATACGATGTTTGGTTTTCCATTCTTGAGTTACTTCACTTAGAATAATAGTCTCCAATCTCATCCAGTTCCCTGCAAATGCTGTTAATTCATTCCTTTGTATGGCTGCATAGCATTCCATCATATATATCTATATATCTATATATAGATATAGATATGCATCATATGTGTATATACATGTATATATGCCCATACATATATATCACAGTTTCTTTATCCACTCATTGATTGATGGACATTTGAGTTGGTTCCATGATTTTGCAATTGTGAATTGTGCTTCTATAAACATGAGTATGCAAGTATCTTTTTTGAATAATGATTTCTTTTCCTCCGGGTCAAATGGTAGTTCTACTTTTAGTTCTTTAAGGAATCTCCACACTGTTTTCCATAGCAGCTGCACTAGTTTACATTCCCTCCAGCAGTGTAGAAGTGTTCCCTGTTCACTGCCATCCATGCCAGCATCTACTGTTTTTTTGATTTTTTGATTATGGCCATTCTTGCAGGAGGGAGGTGGTATCACCTTTTGGTTTTGATTTGCATTCCCCTGACCATTAGTGTTGTTGAGCATTTTTTCATATGTTTATTGGCCATTTGCATATCTTCTTTTGAGAATTGTCTATTCATGCCTTAGCCCACTTTTCATGGGATTATTTGTTTTTATTCTTACTGATCTCTTTGAGTTTGCTGTATTTTCTGGATATTAGTCCTTTGTCAGATGTATAGATTGTGAAGATTTTCTCCCACTTTGTGGGTTGTCCGTTTACTCTGCTGACTCTTCCTTTTGCTGTGCCAAAGCTCATTAGTTTAACTAGGTCCCAGCTATTTATCTTTGTTTTTATTGCATTTTGTTTTGGGTTCTTGGTCATGAAATCTTTGCCTAAGCCAATATCTAGAAGGGTTTTTCCAATGCTATCTTGCAGAATTTTAGTAGTTTCAGGTCTTAGGTTTAAGTCCTTAATCTATCTTGAGTTGATTTTTGTACAAGGTGAGAGATGAGGATCCAGTTTCATTCTCCTACATGTGGCTAGCCAATTATCCCAGCAGCATTTGTCGAAAAGGGTGTCCTTTCCCCACTTTATATTTTTGTTTGCTATAAGTATTTGGGTTCATTTCTGGGTTCTCTATGCTGTTCCATTGATCTATGTGCCTATTTTTATACCAGTATTATGCTGTTTTGGTGACTATGGCCTTATAGTATAGTTTGAAATCAGGTAGTGTGATGCCTCCAGATTTGTTCTTTTTGCTTAATCTTCCTTTGGCTATGTGGGCTCTTTTATGGTTTCATATGGATTTTAGACTTTTTTTGTCTAATTCTCTGAAGAATGATGGTGGTGTTTTGATGGGGATTGCATTGAATTTGCAGATTGCTTTGGCAGTATCGTCATTTTCACAATATTGATTCTACTCATCCATGAGCATGAGATGTTTATGTCATTTGGGTCATCTATTATTTCCTTGGTTGTGTGTTTTTTTGTGTGTTTTTTTTTTTTTTTTTTTCTTGCAGCTATTGTAAAAGGGATTGAGTTCTTGATTTGATTCTCCGCTTGGTCACTGTTGGTATATAGAAGAGCTACTGATTCATGTGCATTAATCTTGCATGCAGAAACTTTGCTGAATTCTTTTATCAGTTCTAGGAGCTTTCTGTAGGAGTCCGTAGGGTTTTCAAGGTAAGCGATCATTTTGTCAGCAAACAGTGACAGTGTGACTTCCTCTTTACTGATTTGGATGCCCTTCATTTCTTTCTCTTGTCTGATTGCTCTGGCTAGGACTTCCACTACTATGTTGAAGAGGAGTGGTGAGAGAGGGCATCCTTGTCTTGTTCCAGTTCTCAGAGGGAATGCTTTCAACTTTTCCCCATTCAGTATTATGTTGGCTGTGGGTTTATCATAGTTGACTTTTATTACATTAAGTTATGTTCCTTGTATGCAGATTTTGCTGAGAGTTTTAATCATACAGGGATGATGGATTTTGTTGAGTGCTTTTTCTGCCACTATTGAAATGATCATGTAATTTTTGTTTTTAATTCTGTTTATGTGGTGTATCATATTTATCTGCTTGTGTATGGTAAACTATCCCTGCATCCCTGGTATGAAACCCACTTGATCATGGTGGAATGTCTTTTTTATATATTGTTGGATTTGATTAGCAAGTATTTTGTTAAGGATTTTAGCATCTATGTTCATCAAGAATATTGGTCTGCAGTTTTCTTTTTTGTTTATGCCCTTTCCTGGTTTTGGTATAAGAGTGATGCTGGCTTCACCCTTATTATTTTTATGGAGAGTTCCTTCTTTCTCTGTCTTGTGGGATAGTGTCAAAAGCATCGGTACAAATTATTCTTTGAATGTCTGCTAGAATTGTTCCATGAATCGTCTGGTCCTGAACTTTTCTGTTGTTGGTAATTTTTCAATTACCGTTTCAATATCACTGCTTGTCTGTTCAGGGTATCTAATTCTTTCTCATTTAAGCTAGGAAGGTTGTATTTTTTCAGGAATTTATCCTTTTCGTCTAGGTTTTCTAGTTTTTGTACATAAAGATGTTCATAGTAGCTTTGAATGATCTTTTGTATTTCAGTGGTATCAGTTGTAATATCGCCTGTTTCATTTTTTAGTGAGGTTATTTGGATTTTCTCTCTTCTTTTCTTGGTTAATCTTGCCAATGATCGATCAATTTTATCAATCTTTTCAAAGGACCAGCTTTTTGTTTCTTTTATATTTTGTATTCTGTTGTTCATTTGCTTGCTTCAATTTCATTTAGCTCTGCTCTGATTTTGGTTATTTCCCTTCTTCTTCTGGGTTTGGGTTTCATTTGTT